GTGAAGTCAAAAAATCGAAAAACTGAGAAATCGAAATAAGCCAAAAGCGAAAATTCGAAATGTTAAAAACTGAAAAACTGGAATAAAGAATTAATATTAATTTATTAATAAATAAATAATTTAAAATCAACAAAAGTCGATAAATCGAAAATTGAACAATAAAAAAATCGAAACATTGAAATCTCGAAAAATTGAAACATCGATTAGTCGAGAAATCAAAAAACTGAAATTTAGAAACGAGAAATCGAAAAACTGAAGAATAGAAAAATTCGATAAATCAAAAATTGAAAAGTAGAACGACTGAAAATTCGAGTATTGAGAAACAAAAACTCGAGAAATCAAAAAATTGAAAATCGAAAATTTCAAAAATCAAAGAACTGAAAAATTTTAAAATCTAAAAATTTACAATTGAAAAATTCGCAAACTGATGTTTCGAAAAATTGCAAGACGAAAATTCGATAAAGCAAATATTCGAAAAATCGAAAATTCGAAAAATCAAAAATCGAAAAGTAGAAAGATTGAAAATTGGAGTATTGAGAATTAAAAAATTGAACTATAGAAAAATGGAGAAATTGAAAATCGAAAAGTAATAAAACTGAAAATAGTAAAAAAACGGGAGAATAGAAAAATTGAAAAATAGAAAATTGGAAAAATCAAAAATCGAAAATTCGAAATACCGAAAATTTCATTAATCCAAGAATTTAAAAATCTAGAAATCAAACAATAGAAGTGGAAACAAATTTTCGAAAAACCAAAAATTCAAAAATCGAAAGATCGAAAAATCCAATATCGAAAAACTGAAAGACGAAAACTGGAAAATTGAAAAATCAAAAAGTCGAAAAATCAAAACGCCGAGAAACCGAAAAATTCAAAAACTGAACTGAATCGAAAAATCAAAAGATCGAGAAATAGAAATGTAGGGAGTGAAGTCAAAAAATCGAAAAACTGAGAAATCGAAATAGGCCAAAAGCGAAAATTCGAAATGTTAAAAATTGAAAAAGTGGAATAAAGAATTAATATTAATATATTAATAAATAAATAATTTAAAATCAACAAAAATCGATAAATCGAAAATTGAACAATCAAAAAATCGAAACATTGAAATCTCGAAAAATTGAAACATTGAAAAATCGATTAGTCGAGAAATCAAAAAACTGAAATTTAGAAACGAAAAATCGAAAACTCAAAAGTTTCAAAAATCGAAAAATTGAAAGACCGAAAAATCGAAATCCGGCAAGGGGATAAATCGAAAGAACGAGCAATCGAAACATTAACATATCGAAAAATTGAAGAATCAAAAAATCGAAAAATGGAAGTTGAAAGATCGGAAAACCGGGAAATCGAAAAATCAATTGAACAATAAAAAATTCGAAACAGAAATCTCGATAAATCGAGAAACTGAAAAATTGAAAAATCGAAAACTGAAAAATCGAAACATTGAAAAGCCGTGAATAAGGAAATTAAAAACTCGATTAATCGAGAAATCAAAAAATTGAAATTTAATAAATCGAAAAACTCAGAAATCGAGAATGCGAAATTTTAAAAATAGAAAAACTGAAAAATCGTAATACTATAAAACAAGGAATTGAAAAATTTCTAAACTGAAAGGACGAAAAATTAGGAAATCGAAAAACCGAAAAATCGAAACATGAAAAATCGGAAAACTAAGAAATCGAAAAATTCAAAAACTGAAACATCCAGAAATCGAAAAATTAATATACCGAGAAATCGAAAAGTCGAGAAGTTGAAAAAGCGAAAAATTGAAAACTCGATAGGCCAAAATCGAAAATCGAAAACATAACAATTGAAAAATTTAAAATTAACAAAAATCTATAAATGAAAAAACCGAAAAGTCGAAAAATCAAAAAGTCGAAAAACTGAGAAATCGAAAAATTGAAAAATCGACAAATTAATCAATCAAAAAATCATAAACCGGGAACTCGGATCGGGAAATCGAAACATCAAAAAACTGAAAAATCTTAAATCTAAAAATTTGAAAAATTGAAAAATAAGGAATATCGAAGAACTCGAAAATTGAAAAATCCAAAAATTTAAAAAACTGAAAAATTAAAACATCAACAAATTGAAAAATCCAAAATGTACAAATCGAAAATCTGAAAACAGAAATCGATAAATCAAGAAATCGAAAAGTCGAAAAACCAAAACGTCGAAATACCGAGAAATCGAAAAACTAATAAATCCAAAAATTTAAAAACCAAAAAATCCAATAATCCAAAACATTTCTAAAAACGAAAAATCTTAAATCTAAAAATTTGAAAAATAAGGAATATCGAAGAACTGAAAAATCGAAAAATCGAAAATTTTAAAAACTAAAAAATTTACAAAATCGACAAACTGAAAAATCCAAAATTTACAAATCGAAAAACTGAAAACAGAGAAATCGAAAAGTAGAAATGGGAAAATATAAAGATGTATTATTTGGCAAATCGAGAAATCAGAAAACCGAAATTTCGAAAAGTCAATAATCAAAAAATTAAGAAATCGAAAAATTGAAGAATTGAAAATTTGAAAAATCATACAACTGAAATATTGCAAACTTGAGAAATCGAAAATTTTTTAAAAAATGTAAAAAATCCCCAGATTTCAATTGGCGATTCTGGAGAAGTGGTAGGAATTTGTTTTAGACGAAATGAAAATAATTTCTGGGCATCGAGGTCTACACGAAAATTTCATTAGCTAATTTTCGAAGGTGATCGAAAAATGAGATGACGTCATCACATTTTTATAGGAATAATCAAGCAAATTATGGTTAACGCTTTATTAACTACATAGTATTTAAAATTTCACAACTTACTGATGGTAAATCAGTAGTTTCAGAGTAATAAAGACGTCAGTAGACCACAAAGAACAGATAGACGAAACGGAAGAGCTACTCTTTCATATTCTAAGACTTACGAAACTCCAAGAAATCAAAATTAAAATACATACGTATTAGCTTATGCTCCTGAAGTAAAAATAAAATTGAAATAAAAATACTTAACCAATTTTTTGTGAAACGATTAATGTCTCATCTTCTTTAAAATGGACTTCTGAGAGGCTGAGGGTTAACCTATCTATCTTATAGTTTTCTCGCGCTGTCGACTTAGCAATAAATTAATTAATATTCCACAGAACAATGCCTCTCATAACCCGACTACACGCACGCTCGCCACAAGGAAATATAAACAAACTCGTACAAGAACAGGATTTCTTCCACGTCGCTCCGCACACTCACAAGGAAATGAAAAAAACAGATAAATATCTTCTTTGTATGCAATCCCTCGGTAAACCTGTACAAAGCTATGCAAATGCACGCCGAGCTTATCGATATGATACGTTAGGAACATGTGGATTCGTAATAATTTATGTAGCGTTAAGAGAAATTATGCAAAAAAGTCAACAAAACGAAGATAGCGACTATCAACATGCAGCGCGCACAACCAAAACAATGCTGGTACATGTATGGAAGCGATAAGATATGACGACTCTATCTCGAAGGAATTTTTAAAAGGTGAGCCTTGTAAGACGAGTAACAAGATCGGAGGATCCCCTTGTCGGTGCGATTTTTTTTTTCTGTCGGCGAGATCCCGCTGCATATGCCAAAACTTGAAGGGAGAGAAAGTTTTATCATCCCGTACAAAAACCGACAGATGGGTGGAGAGACAGTGATTTATGTGCGTAATAGTTCCATTCTGATATATCGACTCGGCGAAATTACAAGTTATCTAGGATGGAGCGGGACTCGGACACGTGACGGCTTCACCATCTCCCGGCTTTTTTTCGGGAAATTTGATAGTCATATCTTAGTCCTGCGTCACTGGCTGCTAGGGAAGCGTTTTTGTCTGGTTAACCCAACGAGGAATTTTTAGATTATTTTTTTTAATATTATGTTAAAAAAAGTGTAAAACCCAAAATGTGAGGAATTGTTGTAAAAATATGATACTCTCTGACATGTTTTATTTTAGAGAAATTGAGTGAATATTTTTGGAGTCCGTCTGTCTGTCCGTCGTCGGATTGTTGACGATTTTCACCAACTCCGAAATTTCAAAATCTACCTCGACCAATTCATTTCGCCCATTCAGCCTCAAGTCGTGTACATTAGCGTTAAAAATCTGTCACCTCCGACCTCCCCCTCATTGACCCCGCGCACCGCCACACCAGCGCGAAATATACATCGCTGTCGAGCATCGACGGCAAAGCCCATTATTCATTATTAACTTTTAATCTCGGTACAAAAATGGAAATCGCGCGTTTTATTTCCACTCCGAAACGTTTGTCAAACGGGACAGGATCCGCTATATTCCTTTTGTGGCCTGGACGGATAATGCGAAAGCACAGCTGGCCGCTAACAATGGGGTTTTGCCGTGTTTTGTATGCTTAGCAGTTATGAGAACGGAGGAGTTGAAGGAGAGCCTCTCGAAGACGTGCGGGATGACCCAAAAACTACTCCTTTCGGTAGGTAGAATTTAATTCCGATTTATAGCACAAATCCAGTAAACTAAAAAAGTCGTCGCGCCAATTGCCTCTAATGAACCCGGCTCGACTTAACGTTTTTTAATCCCGTAAATTATCATCAGCGCTCCCGATATTCGTTTAATTCGAAAAACTTTAAATTAGCAATTAGGTTCGAACGAACGAAATTACGTAAAGCATAAAATCCATTTGCTCTTCAGCTGCGAGTCAAGGACTGACTGAGCTATCGAATCGGTCAACAGCACTCACCTAATTATGGGTTGCACGCACAACACCGAATCGAGCTACGAACGACTGTTATTAAAAGACCAATCATCGAGATGCAAATTTCAATAGAAACCTACTAGTGGTCGTTTTGGAATGCATAAATTTTGGCGGGTCGACGGACGAGGATTTTGCTCAAACTATTCGAGCCATCCTAATTTTTATCCTTGACAGAAACTTCTTGAGGTTCAGGCAAACTGCTGACGATTACATTGTAAAGTCTATTTGAAGGTATGTATGCATGAATATGTATAAATACGAAATTAGTAACTCTAGAAAATGCGTAAACGCAACAGTGTGGGTGCGTGGTTTTGCGTTCATTTAAAAACAATCATAGACTTACCTCTTCGGGATCGATATATGCACTCGGTCCAGATATCACAGGATAAGGTATAGGCAAACCACGGCTCTGCAACAAGAAACACTCTTTTAGCCCCATCAAAAAAGAATGGGTTAATTAAGAAACAAAACTCTCAAAAGAGTGCTGCTGTCAACTTCGTAATTAATTCGATCTAACGGGTCTCGAGAAAAAGTTGGCTAATGCATATTCTAGACGGCGATGATCTCAGAACAAGAAGAAGAACCAATTACTTACTAGCACTCGCTAATCAACGGCTGACCCGAGGCTAGAAGAAATTTAATTTGATCGAGAATAATTGTTTCCGGCCCAAAAGCGCTTATTTGTTACGGGATACTAATATTCTCTTTAAACACCGCATTAATTATTGATTATTTGATTATCTCGGAGAGGCATCGATGGGTGTCTTGCACTCTGATGAAGTCGACGCTTTCTCTCCTAGTTTAATAATAATAAATCACCCGAGAGGTTACAAATCAATCGGGAGTGGATTTTATTATAATAATTACGTCAATCTATCAGGTGTTTTTTGGCGAGTGGGTAATGGGCGGTTCGGAACCGTGGCGGCTAATTTATTAGCGATGGGGGACAGTTAGCCAAGGATATTTACATATAAATTAAGAATATTTTAAATAAAGCAACAAAATCTTTACGGCAACGAAAAAATCGACTCGAACAGAGAAAAGAACATATTTATTGTCGATACTAATAACCTGCCGGCCAATTCTCCGAATACTTTCTTCGGGTCCGCAGACGAGGAAGTGAGTATAAAAAATTGATTTAAAAGCGCGGCTCCATTCTATATTTTCTGCGTTCGGAACGGAATTGCATCTGTCGTTGATGGTAAATCCTGATAGGTCGATAAATTGCGAACGAAAAAGCTGGACAATGGAGGAGTGGCGAAATTTGATTGCAAATATTTTTTCTAAAGACAGCCGGAGTAATGCGAGTTGTGGCTTCGCTCAACCCCAAAATTTCGTTCGGTCAAGTTTTTTGGTTGATATCGGATTGATGATCATTGCAGTGCAGCAATGATAAAGAGATACAGGAGAGGCATATCATGACCTGATTGGATCTCGAGAGTACTCCACTTGAAATTGGACATTAGATATCTGATATGAGTTGAAGGCCTTGGTACTTGATAATACTTAGGTATAATAATAGGCCATGTTCCAGGGAAATTTTTCGACGAAAATATTTCTACCAAGGTTTCGTTTTTGAAAAAGATAAATTCTGAGGCGCGTGTTTGACAGGTGACCTTAAATTTATCTAAACACACGAAAATAATTATCACATTCGAAGCACTTACATGTAGTCTTGCACTACACTGCAAGGGTTTTCTTATAGGACGGTTCTAAAGGCCGCGCAGAATTTCTGCGAGTGTTTACTTTTGATTTTATCTCATTTTCAAATATAATAACGAACCATCAGTGTTTCACAATATATTTAAATACAAGTTTAGCTTACAATGTATCAAATGTCGCAAGGAAAAGTACTAAAAAAATGCAACAATTTGTGTGTGTCAGTTTTTGAGACCATGATTTGACATTTTTGTTGTGACGATTGTTTTAATCTCGATTTCGAAACGAGAACCGATTTTCAAACGAAGCAGCGTGTTTTCGGAAATTCTAATACGCTCTTTTCGGTTTAATCAATAAAATTAATTGCTTCTTTCATCCTGTATAGACAATTCAAAAAAAATAAAATATCATTTTTTTTATCTGAGGGCTAAATCTTTATTTGAGAGTGAATCAAAACTATCCAGGATTTTTTTGACGCAGAAGCAGAATTTTCACCTCGAGAAATATGTTTTCCGAAGACCGTAAGAAATTCATGCTTGAGTCTTAAATCTAAAGCGACCAGCAATTTATGTATCAAAGCTGGGGGTCAACAGCTCCAACAATTCAATTAAAAATGTCATTTATCAAAATAAATCATTTTGAATCCACGAGGATGATCCTAGTTGATGTAATATAACCTATTTAGCTTTCTAAGTTCAGCTACAGATAACTTATACTTTTATGTAATTACCTGTACTTAAAAATTTTCCACATTTTTGACAATATCACGTTCCCTTCAAAAATATTACCACGTTATCTTTAATTTTTCTTAAACTTTTCCTTCCTGAGAACAGATAAACACTATCTATTTTCTATATACTTTGTATACATTATCGTAGCATGTACGTCTTGAACTTTGTCAAAAAACCGATGTTGCAACGATAACTACAACACTTCAACTCAAGTACGACTCAAAAAGGTCCTTCAGACTAAACAATCGCGAAATTGTTCCAAGATTACTTAGATAAGTTTGATTGGATTCTCTCCGAATGACCATCACACATTCGGCTAGACTATTTTGATTGTTTATCGATCATATCTGACACGCGATTCCTAACTTAGCAAAAATGCTAATCTACTAGCTATAAAAGGGACACCAAGCCACCTAAAGATCACTCGCAACCATGAAGTCTTTCATAGTAGTCGCCCTCCTAGTAGCATCAGCTTCAGGTAAGTCAAAATTCAATAAAAAAACATAATTAAAAATAATTAAAAATCACACTAATTTTTTTTTATGTAGCCACTCCGGCTTTCGTGCCGGCCAAAAACCTGCTCCCTGACGGCAGAATCGTCGGCGGTTCAGACATCGACATCTCCCAAGTACCCTGGCAAATCTCCCTCCAGTACTACGGCTCCCACATCTGCGGCGGTTCCATAATTTCGGAAAAGTGGGTCGTCACGGCCGCCCACTGCACCGACGGGTAACTAACTCACCACCAAATCCACCACTTTTTAACACCCTGTCTAGATCCAGCGAACAAGACCTCAACATCCGTGTCGGCACCTCCACTCTAGAATCCGGCGGCCAAGAAGTCGACATCGCCAAAATCCACCAAAACCCCAAATTCGACGACTACAACATCGACTGGGACATCTCCCTGCTCGAACTAGCTTCCCCCATCGATCTGAGTGGTAACGCCGCTGCGGTTAACCTCCCGGAGGCCGGCCAGACCTGGCCTGAAGGTACCGAGACTCTCGTCAGCGGCTGGGGAACCACCTCAGAAGACGCCGTTAACCTCCCGAACCAACTCCAAGGAGTCAACGTGGACATTGTCAGCTCCTCGACTTGCAACGATGCTTATGGAGACGGGAGCATCACCGACAGGATGCTGTGCGCTGGTGTCAACGGTGGCGGAAAAGACTCCTGCCAAGGAGACTCCGGCGGCCCCTTGGTCGTGGGAGATATTCTAGCCGGGATCGTCTCGTGGGGGTATGGGTGCGCAAGGGCCGGGTATCCCGGAGTCTACGGCAACGTGGCGGCGATGCGCGATTTTATCACAGACACAGCGGGAATCTGAGATGTGATGTAGATATTGTTAAGTAGAATAAAAAAGTAGTAAATCTAAAATGTGTTTGTCTTAAAACGATGATGTCAAATGTGACAATCTGGTTGCAATTTTTGAATGGTCTAACCTTGATTCTTGGACTGCTGAATCCAGCTTTCTGGTGTAGGTGGTTATTGGTATCTCCTAACTGGACGAAAATTACAGCGAATCTTCAACAGAGGTAGAAGAGTACTCCAAAAGAGAAGGAGACTCTAAAAGCCATTCCAAAAAAGGGAGAAAACAAGAAAGGTCCTGTGAATACTAAAGGACAGATAATTACAGAAAAAAGGTGGTTACTCACAGAGCTAAATCGTGATTAGTCGAGCTATCACTCAGCGGAGTAAGAAGAACTTCGACGAACTCCCAAAATTTAGGAAGATATTTTCCAAACGAAAATGAGGCGAATTTTCAGTTGCAGAATTTTTCACAAAGTCAACAAAATTAAAAAATAATAATAATAAACAGCAAGTGAAGTGGGTAAGATTCATGAGGAAATAGTCTCTATTATTTTACTCACACATATATTGGCAAATCGCAACTAAAATTAAGCAGGTATCATTTCCGTATTTTGTATGGGAGAAAAACCTACCGATTTCTAAAGAAGTTGATATGTACATGAATCTTATACAAGTTGTCATAAGTGTTTGTTATTCCGCTTTTATATGCATTAAAATTTGATTTTTATATATTAATTAGTAAATAGAATTATTTCTTGAATCTTCTTAATTTTAAAATTGGGTTTTTTGGTTATTTATCACATCATATGTATTTAAAAAAATACACAAAATTCTGTCTTACTTATTTAACTGTAATATAACCAAACAATACTGATTTTAATAATATAGTCTTTACTGACTAGTGTTTTTAAATTTCTACCAAGAGTTTTGTTTTTATTATTGAAGATTTTTAGAGTCATTCGGAGTCAAAGTTGTAGATTATATTCTAAAATAACTTTATATCTATCTTTGCCTTTGAAGTGACAATTTTTAAACTCGAGCGATGACAATGACCTATTTTCAAAGTCGTTTTTTTACTTTTTCATCTTGTCCTGTTTTCTGCGTACTTAGTGGAGATAATTGCACCAAGCACGTGACAAACTTAAATACCAAACAATCGCTGCATTGTTCGACGATTAATTAGATAAGTTTGACTGAATTCGTTCCGAATGATCATCACACATTTAGCACTATTTTGATAGTTTATCGATGATATCTGACATGCAACTTCACAAAAATGCTAATCTACTGACTATAAAAGAGCCACTAAGACAATCCAAGGATCACTCACAACAATGAGGTCCTTCATACTCGTCGCCCTCCTAGTGGCATCAGCTTTCAGTAAGCCAAAACTTGATTCAAAAATCACACCTATTTTTTTTTTAATACAGCCACTCCACTTTTTCCGCCCGCTAAAAACCTCCTCCCTGATGGCAGAATCATCGGAGGCGCAAACATCGACATCTCCGAAGTACCCTGGCAGGTCTCCGTCCAGTTCTACGGCGCCCACATCTGCGGCGGTTCCATACTGTCGCAAACCTGGGTCATCACGGCCGCCCACTGCACCGACGGGTAACCACACCACCAAATTCGCACGTTTTTATTAACACTCTGTATAGAATCACCTCCAGACAGCTGACCATCCGTGCCGGCACCTCCACCCTAGAATCCGACGGCCAGGAAGTCAACGTCGCCAGAATCTACCAACACCCGGACTACGACCGCGATACCATCGACTGGGATATCTCCCTCCTCCAACTATCTGCCCTCATCGACCTCAACGCAAACGCTCTGGAGATTGTCCTCCCGCAAGCTGGAACAACCTGGCTTGAAGGTACCACGACCCTTGTAACCGGCTGGGGGACGACCGAAGAAGACGGCGACGCCCTCTCTAACCATCTTCAAGCGGTTAACGTGGATATAGTCAGCCCCGCGGCTTGCAAAGCGGCTTATGGGGCCGGAAGCATCACCGAGAGGATGCTGTGCGCTGGAGTCAGCGGAGGCGGCCAGGACGCCTGCCAGGGAGACTCGGGAGGGCCCTTGGCAGTAGGGTTTTTGCTAGGCGGGATAGTTTCATGGGGATATGGGTGCGGTAGGCTCGGGTATCCCGGTGTCTATGGGAACGTGGCGGCGATGCGCGACTATATCAAAGAAACTGCAGGACTCTGAGATATCATGTAAATATTGATAAGTAGAATAAAGAAGTAGAATACTAAATCGAAAATCTTTGTCTTAAAATGATATTTTTTTAATGATCTAACCTTGATTCTTGGACTGCTGAATTCGGATTTCTAGTCTAGGTGGGGTTTGGTATCTCCAAAAACTGGACTAAAATCTCTTCGTTACTCAGCGAATCTCCAACAAACATAGAAGAGCACTCCAAAGGATAAGGAAAGATAATTCCTTGAAAGGAGACACGAACAACCATTCCAAAAAAAGGAGAAAACAAGAAAAGCAAAAAGTGGCTCGAAAAAATTATCAGACAATAAATAATTAACTCCAAACACGATAAATTTGAATATATCGTCGTTGATTCTTCAATACCTGCTATGTGCAAAATTGAAAATTGTTCAGGAAACACAATAAACTGATTACAAAAAAAAGGGAGTCCTTGTTCGTTTGGTTTAGTCACTTAACAAAATAATAATTTGCTTAAGATACATTTAGTTTACAGAAAATAACGTTTTTAGTGCAGTTATTTATTAAAACTCATTTAATGTTGCTAATTTTCACAGAGCAGATTTTTCATAGTTCAGCTTTTGTACATGTCATTTATTTCACAATACATGTAAATTAATCTCTATTAATATAATTAACAACTTTTATTGGAAAGTATTTTATTTAAACCAAAAATACAAAAACATTAAAATAAAATAATAATAATAATACTAATAAAAATCGTTGACTTATAGATCATTTTTCGCAGATTACGTATATAAAATATTTTTGTCAATTGGTCTTCAAATAACAGAGAACTGCGGGGAAAATATTTCAAAAATCCCCAAAATTTCCAAAAAATTTGAAATTGTTCCAAATGGCTTTATTTGAGAGGGAAACATTGAGTTTCTAGTTTTATAGAGTATTAATCGCAAATTTAACTTATGCAATCTTAGCCCCGCCGACTCACCCTCTATTTTCTTAAAGAGTATACCATTTCCCAAAAATTGTCTTATTTTCGCAAGTACTAGTCCCTCCCACTTTCTCTCTATTTTCTTAGGGGGTATGTTATTTGCTAAAATCAGTTTCTTTCTTAGTAAATACTAGCCCCGCCCACCCGCCCTCTTTCCTTGTAGGATATGTCATTTGCCAAAATCAGTCTTACCTAAGCAAGTACTAGGCCCGCCCACCCGCCCTGTATTTTTTCTAGGAGGTATATTATTTGCCAAACTCAGTCTTATCTTAGCAACTACTATATTATATATTGAAATGGCAAACTAAAATATTAAACAATAATTAAATAGTACTTGTAAGATAAGACTAATTTTGACAAAACACATACCTTCCAAGAAAGTAGAGGGCGGGCGGGCGGAGCTAGTACTTGCTAAGATAAGACTGATTTTGGCTAATGAGACACCCTCTAAGAAGAGAGAGGGTGGGTGGGCGGGGCTAGTATTTAATAAGATAAAACAGATTTTCGCACTTTTAACATTTTCGACTATTTTTCAACTATTTCCGAAAATCAGCGAGAAAAGTGAGAAAAATTTTTCGTAATTTCCAAAAATTTGTTGTCTGAAACAGTTAAAAGACGATCTGACCCAACGGAAAATGGTTGGCTTATAGATAATTTTTCGCAGATTACGAATCTAAAATATTTTTGACGATTTGGCGTCAAATAACTGAGAAATGCGGGGAAATGACTCCAAAAATCCCCAAAATTTCCGAAAAAATTGAAATTGTTCTAAATGGCTTTATTTGAGAGGGAAACATTGAGTTTCTAGTTTTATAGATTATTAATCGCAAATTTAACTTATGCAATCCTAGCCCCGCCCACTCATCCTCTATTTTCTTAAAAAGTATATCATTTTCCAAAAATTGTCTTATTTTAGCAAGTACTAGTCCCTCCCACTTTCTCTCTATTTTCTTAGGGGGTATGTTATTTGCTAAAATCAGTTTTTTTCTTAGCAGATCCTAGCCCCGCCCACCCGCCCTCTCTTTCCTTGTATGATATGTCATTTGCCAAAATTAGTCTTATCTTAGCAAGTACTACAATAATATTATATCTGTAGTTTTATTCAATAATGGTTCAAATAATTAATAATTTTTATCATACTTACGGTATACTTTGAATTAAAACACTGCAAAAAACTGCACTATTTTCATTAACACGTGAGGCGGGATGATTTTCCTGGATAACGTACTCATGCGCAAACTGTTATGTGCAACACACTGGCAATAATATTATAAATGTAATATCTGCTATGTGTATTATATGCACATAGCAGATATTTCGAGCGGTTGTTTGACTACCAACACATGACAGGTTTTTTCTTTTTTAATTTAAAAATAACCGCGAATTTTTAACACATAGCAGTTATTACCATTCGACGCGCTATATTTCTTACAATCAAATCATGAGCAAACCTAAAAATGGACAAAAAGTGCACATAGCAGGTATTGCAGAATCAACGACGATATGTTCCATTAGACTATACAAAAAGTTGTTTGACCATCGATCAGATGATATCAAAAGTGACTTTTCTAAGACCAAATCACATTGAAAATTTTAAAGTCAGTCAGAGGCAAAGTTGTAGATTATAGTCTAAAATAACTTTATATCTATCTTTCTCTTCGAGGTGACAATTTTTAAACTCGAGCGATGACAATGACCTATTTTCAAAGTGATTGTACTGAAAGATTAAGGTGAGGCAGTAAGTTAATTCGCCGCTTTATTACTTTTTCATCATGCCCTATTTTCTGCGTACTTAGTAGACATGATTGCACTAAGCACGTGACGAACTTAAAAACCAAACAATCGCTGCATTGTTCTACAATTAACTAGATAAGTTTGACTGATGATATCTGAAATGCAACTTCACAAAAATGTTAATCTACTGACTATAACAGAGCCCCCAAGACAATCCAAGGATCACTCACAACCATGAGGTCCTTCATACACGTCGCCCTCTTAGCAGCTTCAGCTTCAAGTAAGCCAAAACTTGATTCAAATCATCATACCTATATACTTTTTTGTTTTGTTTTAATATAGCCACTCCACTTTTCCCGCTCGCCAAAGACCTCCTCCCTGATGGCAGGATCATCGGAGGCGGAGACATAGACATCTCCCAAGTACCCTGGCAGGTCTCCGTCCAGTTCTACGGCGCCCACATCTGCGGCGGTGCCATACTCTCGCAAACCTGGGTCATTACAGCCGCCCACTGCACCGACAGGTAACCACACCACCAAATGCGCACGTTTTTATTAACACTCTGTATAGAACCACCTCTAGACAGCTGACCATCCGTGCCGGCACCTCCATCCTAGAATCCGATGGCCAGGAAGTCAACGTCGCCACAATCTACCAACACCCGGACTATGATCGACTGGGACATTTCCCTCCTCCGACTATCTTCCGTCATCGAGCCCAGCATAAACGTCCTCCAGGCTATCCTTCCGGAAGCCGGAACGACTTGGCTTGAAGGTACCACAGGCCTCGTAAGCGGCTGGGGGACGACCGAAGAAGACGGCGACGCCCTCTCTAACCATCTCCAAGCGGTTAACGTGGACATAGTCAGCCCCTCGGCTTGCAAAGCGGCTTACGGGGCCGGAAGCATCACCGACAGGATGCTATGCGCTGGAGTTAGCGGCAGCGGCCAAGACGCCTGCCAAGGAGACTCGGGGGGACCCTTGGTAGTGAGGGTTTTGCTAGGCGGGATCGTTTCGTGGGGGTATGGGTGCGGCAGACCCGGGTATCCCGGAGTCTACGGGAACGTGGCGGCGATGCGCGACTACATCAAAGAAACTGCAGGATCATGATTGTGGGAATGTCAAATTCCACCTACTTAAATAAAGAAGACTGTTCGGATGAGAAGACGTAGCACGATTTTATGACCGTGATTGTGTCAGTCTTCTCATCCGAACACTTGGTTCCCAAAACCCAATGTCATTTTCTTTAAACACAAATACAGGTTTTTTTGGCCAAAATTAAACGTGTAATTTAAAACTGACTCCAAATTAACGGTTACCCAACTAACAAAAATAATTCGACACAGTTCCAATTTCCGTGCAACGGCAACAAAAGTCAGAATTATTATTATGCAACTACAAAGCCAGTTTTGGGGCAAACCCGAAATTACTGTTATTAAAACTACGTCCGCTAACTATCGCTATAAATAAAAAAATAATTAACACCTATAATACAACGCTGGCACGTTTGCGGGTCATGAAAATTTAAAGAGCAAGATGGCGTGTCGCCCAGGCATAATCAAGCTAATGAAATCGCATTTGTTGATTGCTGAATTTTTATTATTAGTTTGTCCGCATGCCAACACCCTCAACAGCAGTGTCCGGTGTATACGCATATGTACATAGTTGAGTTCAACCGAGCTTAATTAGCCGTCGTGCAATATCCATCACGAGCAAAACGATTAATAAGCGAAACAGGAAGAATCAAGTCCGCGGAAGCAAATTAAGCGATTTTTAATAACGGCCATTAGCGATGAAAAAGTCGTTTGGCTCCGGCCCGGGGAGGATTTTCGTGTATCGGCTCGATTTACGCTTATTTTCTTCGGGAATCAAACAAATGGAGCTGAATATTCGCAAGAATAGGAGGAATTTCCGTTGCGGTTCATTGAATGTATAAATTTACATACGAAATTGTAGACATCAATTTCGAAGCCGGTGAATTAAAACAATCGCGAGTAATGAACTGGTATTTTCAGAAGCAGGTTAGTGAAAGGATTCTAACATTTAGTCAAATGTTTATGCGCGCTTTAGACGCAGTAAAGTTGAACCGGGAACGTGGAAACTACGCCTAAAGGTGAGAGACTAGCATTTTGTGCAAAAACGGAGTTGTAAAAAGAGATTTTTTTCGAAAATGAGTTGAGATGTCTCACCCAAGGCGGTTTGTTTAAAAATCGTAATTATAATCTGGCGCTACTTTCGCGGAGGCTTTCTTTATGCAAACGTAGCATCAATCACCAACAACTGTCGGCTCAACGGTTACTTAATTT